AAAAAGTACATTTTGTTAGGTTGCCTTAGTTTACCTTAAGTTCTTCTTTATATATTACAAATACTAGTATGGACACTGAGTAGTATGGTTCCAATATAAGAATATAAATCTGATATGTAGGAGTTATGTCAGGAGCTGTAGACATTTGAGTAAAACAAATGTGGTATATAGAAAGTCGAATGTCATGTCAAATTTAACAAAATGTACTTTTTAGGAAGTTTTTAATACGTTAATTTAATGAGAGAGTACAAGTCAAGTCCTCTGACAGGACAAGCTATCAAGCTTATATAAACAGGAAAATTAGCTCAATATGCTATTGCAATGTCTTTTATAAAATGCTAAGGTTCTTTAGCTAATGAACTATGTTAGAGCTTCCAAGAAGGACAATGCTCTATTCACAATTATATAAGAAATTATATCCAAATTCTTTTATAGGCAGGAGAAAAACTGTGCGATCTGCAAAGGACAATTTAAAGTACAACTCAGAGGGGGACGTTCTCTTCACCCAAATATTTTTTTAAGATTAAAAAAAAACACAAGCTGTGAAAAAAACCATAATTATCTAATCATATCTCTTTGTCGCCACAAACATGCCATTAAAATGACTGCACAGAACAGTATAATCAGTCTTTCCCACTGCATTGATAGAGGATGAATTATTAAATAGGAAAGCATATTATATTGACAGTCCCAGACTTTAAATCTTGGGGTCTCACCATCTTTCCAATACAATATTGAAGCATAATCTTTTGGCTGGCTGTCCTTTCCATGCTTATTAAATCCATAAATCCAGAGTGATTCAAAGTTTTTGTATATAATTCAGAGTCATATTTACATCTTTAAACACTGTGATCTTTGTAATATTTTGTAATATTTATTAATTCACTTAAGGAAATGAAAACAAAGCAGTGGTGGACATCTTATCATATAAATAAATTTTTCCTCAGGCCAACTGTTTTAATCCCTTCTCTTTGTTGTACACTAAAGCACACGTAGTGCTTGTTGAATTAGTCTGATCCTAAGATGAGAAATAGACAATATTTTTGACCCTCAACTATTGCTTTGTTAATATGTGATACTCCAATTCTTCGTTACAGGGTTTTTTAAAAAAATGCTATCCAGCTTTATTATACAGTATTCTTAACTGTTAAAGAATATGATTGACTTGGAATTATTTGAAACACATCCCAGTACTGACAATAACTTACAAATTTAGATGTTGCTAATGTCTCATGTCAAAATTCCAAGATTTAATTGAATACACAATAAAATCTCAATTCAAAAGACTATTTGGGAGATGAATCTATTATTCCTAAATGTTTGTTAAATCTGAATTTGTAACCTGCTTCAATTTATGTCATTTTATTTCATTTGAATAATGATCTGATTATACCATTGGCATGATTACATCATTACACAAAAGATGCATATGATGTAAACAATGTAAACATATGTAAACCATCCAGACTACTTAATCAGATGAAGTGCAGATATGGTGATATTTTAAAAGTTTTACTGTACTGCTGTTTGCAAATTTAGACAATTCTAATTTCTCTTGGAACAACTCAATGTTTTCAAAACTTAATTGGAGTTTTTAACTGTCCTTTGAATTATTTTAAATATCTGGGAATAGTTATTCAAAGGAAACATTCAGTTATGGGTGCAATATATCCATTTTTTTAGTTTCAATTACAAATGAACCGAAATAAATTGTTAAGAATCTTATTCATATTTATATTTCCTTATTTTGTGTCTTTACATTTTGTTGACTATTTCTTACGCCTTTTCTGCATGCTACATAGTGCTTCTTATCCTAAAATGGATATAAATGTACCTATATTATTAGGGTATAATAAAGATTTGTGTTCATTTCTAGCTGTTACTGTACGTTGAAATATTCTTGGTTTGTTTAATAAAATAAGCCAATGATTCAACATCAAATTTAAAAACGAGGTAAAGTGCATCCATGAGACATCCTGATACACGATCTTCAAAAGAAAGATTGTGAAGATCAACAATAGATTTTTTTGGGGAGGGGGGAGGGATATTCTACTAGGTCACATGAATGGATGGAAAGAAATAAAGGGAATACATTACAGATTATTGGACATTAAGAAAACCAATGAATGAGTGTAAAAGATTATAGCTGGCTAATATAAAAGAAAAGAGGACTGTTTCAAATACGGTATATGGTTTAGATAAGTCTACTCATACAAATTGCAAAAAATAGCCACCTAAAAATTATCATGGAATACAAGAAAGAATTAAATTGCCCCAGAAGTGTATGCAGACGTATACTATTGAGGGCAAAACCACCGCTAATTTAATTCAATTCATTTTTTGTGAATACATATCAAGAATGTCAGCAATTTAGTATCAAATGCTTGGCAACCTTTTTTTAAAACTAGACTCCATAAATTGAAAAATCTGAGAAACAGTGTGTATAACCTATATGCTAGTCACTGTCAATATTTTTGCATCAATGTTTGTTGGCTTGTCCAAGATAGCGTTTAAAGAGCCTTCAAAATCTTTTAAACTTGAGAGTATGGCTAGAGAAATGTTATGTAGAAAGGTATCATTATAAACTTCCAGTAATATTGGAGCATGAAACTTGGTATTTGTTATCTGTTATCTGGTATACATTATTTTTCAGAGATATAATTTTTACTAATTTCTTCCTTGGTTACATTTGACTCAATGTTATATAATAGAGAGTAAAAACAAGTTGATTTCTTGAGTCAGACACTTCATATACTTCATTCTAGCTATGGCAGAGGTGGTATTCAGCAGGATCTGACCAGTTCTGGAGAACCGGTAGCGGACATTTTGAGTAGTTCGGAGAACCAGTAAATATCACCTCTGACTAGCCCCACTCCCATCTATTCTCTGCCTCCCAGCTGATCTGGAGGAAATGGAGATTTTGTAGTATCCTCCTGCCACACCCACCAAGCCACGTCATACCCAACAAGCCATGCTCACAGAACCAGTAGTAAATTTTTTTGGATCCCACCACTGAGCCATGCCTAATAAAAATACTACACTGTTGCAATTATTTCAGTAGAAAATAAAATAAAATATAAATATGTTCTCAAGATGAAAAATCTCTTCCTCTTGGGATTTGGTGCTCATTTTGAATTGTTTCTTCCCACTAAGACAAGTGTTCTCTTTTGAAGATAGCAGACAGCATAAGGGCAGGAAGTAACCCCAGATCAAATACTTACAAATATGCAGGATAGTGTATCATCTATTACTTATGAATATATATGCCTGCATCATTGTTTCCCTTTCCTGAAATGTATAATTATCAGTGCATCACTTCTGCTTGCAGGGTGACTTTTATTTTGGTGGGGTCCCATAGTGTATGTACTATTTATGTAAGAAACACTGCAATGATCCTTATTTGCTTTGGGTCTGGGGTTTTGATTACTTACTGCTAATATAGTTCAACTGCACAAATATACTTTTAACAGTTCAAATTAATATTCTGCTGATTGATCAAAACATAAGAGCACAAGGATTATTATAGTTATGAGAATTTTCATTTATTAAACAGAAATATTTTGCATAAATTTTATACAAAAAGTAACTGCAAATTTTGTATAGACTTTCCACTGAAAAAAACCTGAAAATTTATTTTAAAGTGTTTATTTTAAAAAATAAATTGACAGATAACACACTATACTGCATGCTGACAATCATCCCACATTTTAGGGGACTAGGGTTAGAATTTTTTAAAGACAAAAGATGTAATTTATCAAGCACAGTGGCTGTGTACAATGTGCAATGACAAAATGATCAGCCACAGTGGATTGCTTCCAAAGATAGCATTTCAAGATGCTAGCTTCCAGAGACAATGCAAATAACATGAAGTATCTGTTTTCTTAAAAACTAACCACAGTTATCAGCAACTGGTGATGAATCTAGGCTCAAGTCCAAAGTATTCCAGCCACCAAAGGTAGTGAGATGCCAGAGTTTCTCAAGGCAATTAATAATTATACTTTTGGGACAGTATTAAATGAGCACTTTAAAGGATAATTAAATTAAAAGCAAATAGGCTTATAGCTTGTAAATACACTGTATTAGAAATTCCTGTTGTTGGGAATCCATTTATCTGAGGTCAAGGTAATTACAATGACAAAGCCTTATTCTCTGCATGCTTCTCTAGGTAACACACCCATGGACCTGGTAAAATAGACATTTGGAGAATACTTGGGATTCTCCTTTTGTTGGAGGACTGTCTAACTAGGGAGTGTCATCAGTAACAAAATTAGTTATACAACATTATTATAAATTAGATTTGTTCCTATCTGCTGCAGTTTCTGTAGGCGGCTCAATAGAACCGCATTCTCTCTTGTAGAAAACAGCTACTAGTTATTGCAATAACCTAGTGATGATTTGAATACGTACTGTAGGTCTTGATCTTAAAGACACTGATGTGAAGATGGGAAGCAATTTGATTGCAGACACTGACACAGTATCGGAGTAAATCAAAAAGAGAAAAAATCTGAAAGGACAATGTTAGAACGTGTGAGATTTGGACATAAAAACTTACGCACAATTTATACTTTTGTGTTTTGAACCCATCATTTTAAACATGAGGATATTCTCTTCAATAAGATTTTATCTTGTTCTGACCAAAGAAACATTTTTTACCTGCATTTTAAAGCAGAAGTTGGAGCTGGGAAAGATCCAGTCCCCCAGCAGCCTAAGCTAGAGGACAGGGCAGGCATGTTCCTAAAGGTTGTACTACCATGATGTCATTTCATGCAAAATAAAATAAAGTCTCACTTGGTAGGAGTGAGCCAGTTTAGTTTGCCCTTTTGCAATTGAAATGCTTGCGAGATGACACTGCCCAATCTCACCTGCCTTATATTTTCCTAAAAGGAGAAAGTCCCCAACATTCTTGCTCCAATGCAACTGTGGAGATCTTAGGGTTTATGACTTGACTTTCTCTACTGGAGATATGGGATTCTTTAACATTCTACGCTAGAGGATTCCATCATCAATACAAAAACACCAACCTTTTCTTAATCATGGGCACGGGTCTATGAAAGCTGTATAGTTTCACAAGACAGAATCGCAAGCCTATGTTGAAATCCCTTATCATTCAAATGAATAAATCTTTCGTGATATGGTTATAACATGGATAAAATATGGCAACTATTGTCCTGAGCACTTTGGAGAAAGGCTAAGTTAACTATCCAGTAAGTGAAATGTGTGACATGAAAACTCAAATAGTATCAGTGATTGAAATATCAGTAATTTTTAACACTTTAATATCAATTACATAATATTGTCAGAGATGGTGTAGGGTTTGGGCGGGGGTTGGACTAGACGACCTACAAGGTCTCTTCCAACTCTGTAAATCAACATGATCTTAAAGAATAAAAAATGAAGAATTTAAAAAATCATTAAAAACTAAAACAAGGAAAGAGCATTTTAAAAACCTAATTGATAACATGTCTAAAATTAATTATATTTTCTTCAAATGACAATATTTTATTGAGGATTTGAAGGGAACTGCAAAATGTTATATTTCTTTAGAAAAACTGGCTTACTTTTAAAAAGATGAACATTATGGATTATTGTTCCAATGCACATAGCCAAAGGGGAACGATTGATACCTGGTCTATGATACTTAGCTGTGATTTCTCAGTATAACTTTCTCAGACTCTAAGTTCAGAAGACTATAAATAACATGTTTCTATTGTAAAAATTCTCCTTTCTCAAGCTACAGATGACATTACTTTATTGTGCAATCTAAAACATTAAGTTACTTGTCGTTTTCTGCTGAGGGTGAGTATCTGTAGGCATGCTCCAGAGATGTGGAAAATTATACTGGTTTGTTTCTGGGTGTGATTCAAGGTTATGAATGCTTCTTTAAAGCTCTACATGGCAAAAGACCCCGGTATTAGAGGGTTTGGCTGTCTCCCTAACATCTGCAGGGTTGCTGCATTCTGGTTTCCTTCAATTTAACAATGTCACCTCAGTACTACAGAAGCATGGCTTCTCTGTAGCACTACCTGCCTTTAAGAATAGAGTTGCCCTTAAGATCCAGATGGCTCCCACCTTGCTGTTGTTTAGAAGAATCATGAAGACCTGGTTTTCACTTCACTTTATTGAGCTTGCCATCATTTATCTTTATTTTTTATGTATTATTGATTTTATTATTTTTTTTGTTGCTGTTGTGAGCTGTCCAGAGTTGTTGAGAATGGGTGGCATGCAAATTTATAAATAATATAGTAATAATTATGAATCCAGCATTGTCAATAGAAAATCAAGGATGTATACATGTATCTTAAAAATGAACTTGCCACTTACCAAGGCAATCCATAGTACAATGTATTCGTCAATAAAGCTATTAAAATATTGATCCAAGAACAAAAGTGCTGGACCTATGAATGCTGTGTCGTGAAGGTGCATCTCGCTTTTGGTCATATGAGCAACCTACAGAGAAAAAACAAGCATTTGTTATTTATAATCAGAATGAATAATGTCTATGGTGGAAGGAACTACATATAGTACATTTAATAAATGTTTCTCTTTAAGGACTAATCCAGTCATAAAATAAACCCTGTTGAAGTGTCACCACATACACTAATAATTGTGGACTGGGAGAAAAAAAAGAATAAACCTGTAATAATACAGCATTTCATAGAAAATGAGTTAAAAGCACAAAGAAATACTTACCACTAGTTTGTTAGTTATCTTAGCAGAAACAAACCCAAAAGTCAGTATATAGAGGCAAGGATGTTTTTCAAAAAGTTCCACAGCAGATTTCTTGTAGATCATGGCAGCTAATGTAATGACAGTTCCAATATGAAGAAATGGTGAAAGGACACTTGTTCCCTACATAGGAAAGAGATTTAATATTAATTTACAATGCTGGGCATATAACATAAATGCAAATGCAGCATTCCAGAGCACACCTTGGTCAAAAATACATACATACATACATACATACATACATACATACATACATACATACATACATACATACCTTTTAATTATAACTAAATCCCATTGAAACTTTTTCAAAGTCAGTGGGGAACTAATAAGAACCATATGACCTACAATATTTAGTTAAGATGCAAGAGATGAATAAGCATACATTTATCTAATTTATTTAATTCTCCAATTTAAAATTGTGGTTGCTCAGTTTCAAAAAGACTCTGAACAGAGTAACACTGAAGAAAAACAAAAATAATTAAAAGAAAATAAATAAATAATCAGCCCCAAAGAAACTATTGAACATCGTGCAGCTAAGATGTCATGGTGATTATCAATGTCTCCTTTCACAAATTTTAGATGGGCAGCAATGTTCTTTTTAGAGACTAGTAGCTTTGTCCTTACAATCCCGCTATGTACACCATTGTTTAGTATTCTCATGTTCACCAATGCAAGGGAGGAATTTAGTTGTTTAGATGTCACTCTGGGTTTCTTTGAAGCCTACCAGTCTATTACTGGTAGACTGGTGTGATCTTCGTTGTTTGTCCAGTCTTGAGAAGAGTAATGAAGTGTAAATTACTTCTACTTATATTCAATCTACCTGATAATGGACTGGTGAGTCCAAATTCTTCGGGAATAATTTTGTTGCCTTTTTCAGCCTGGTGAGCACTAACAATTGTTTTTCAGAGATCCCCAGAAATCTCCTTTGTTTGAGCCATGACACATTTTCACATGTTGCAAAGATCAGACTTTGATACTGGTACCCCAGAATTATTTTGTTTAAATAAGGCAGAACTTCTTACAGCCACACCTGATCATCATCCCATTGACTGAAATGCCTGACACTCATTTCCCCTTCAAATGAACTGATAATCCTAGAGATTTACACATTTTGCCAAACACAAACATATAGTTTTCAATCATTTTCCTAATTAAATAAATGAACATGTGCATTTTTTACTCATTTGTTTAATTGGGTAATCTAGTTCAGGATTTGTGTGGGGAACAGATCATATTTTAGGTCAAACATGCAGAAATACTGAACATTTAAAAGAGTTCATAAACTTTTAAACACCACTGTATATATTAAACACTCATCTAAATTAATGCAAAATATGCTCCAAAGACAACTGGTCTTAGTTTATTTTTAGATCTGTGATGTTCTAATAACCAAAGGAGTATGAACAAACACTCTTGACTGTGATGTGTTTTATGTTATGAAAATGTATAAAATCAATCTCTGATAAGAAGTTTGAAATTTGTAATAGAAAATGATGCACTTCTATAACAGATATAAATTCTTTTCTTAGTCACTATATTATATTGGAATTTTTATTTAGATGCTGTATATTCTTTCCTTTACTAATAATGTAGTGTAGTATCTTATTAATTAGTCTTCAAAAATTTTAAAATAAGACTATTTTATTTTAAATCATATAGAATCAGATTGATCAAAGTAATTTTGCTTGAGAATGACATCTGATGACAACTCAAAACTAGGAAACTGATATTTATTGCAAACCCTGTGCCTGACCATAGAGATCCAGTCTACCTCTTTTGTTCTGAGTTTGGCTTCTCATCTAATCCAGAAGGACATGCTTTGAATGTTAGGATGCATTGGAGAACACAGAACTTTGTTTTTTTTAAAAATATGTTACAATGTTGTTGAGAATTTATTATTTTAATGTTAATTTTTACTGATACTCATTTTCTCTTCAAATGCCTGACACTCATTTCCCCGTCAAATGAACTGATTTTTCTTTAAATAACCCCTATGAGCCTTTGCGGGGAAAAAAAAAAGAAAGGAAGGATTATACAGAAGGGAAAATAGAAGAATAATGTACATTAAAATACAAAACAAAACAGAAAAGCACTTACTGCTATAGTTGATCCATTTTTGCCAACTCCACCTGTGAAGATCACACCAAAGTAGTTTGTACAAGAGAATATGGTTCCTGCTACTGTACAAATAGCTGGAAGTATTTTCATGTGAATGTTTAACACTGGAATCTTAACAAGAAAGGAAAATATTAAAACAATTTAAATATTTCCTGTTAATTTTATTTTATTTTAGATTTAGATTTCAAATGAACTCAAAACATTCCACTTTTCTAAATCTGTATCCAGGAATTTTCTGGAACAGGGCTTTAAAAAACCTTTGGAATACATTACCTTACCTTTCAGAGTTCTTTTTATTTATAATGAAATACTAGACCTATATGTGACCATAATAACTGAATGGAAGGACTAAACATTTGAATGCCTATTTCAGCATAATCAGGAACCAAGATTTAATTGTTATAATAGATATTGTCTTTGAAGTAAGAAATGGCATAATGAAAATAATTATGTGATCAGGGAAGAAAGCTCTTTGAAAATCACAGAAGAATGAGGAAAAGATCTTTGGATATATTCCAAAATTCTATGTCACAGACATAAAAGAAAAAAAAGAGCTGCATGTGAATGCAATAATGGACAATTTTGTAGTATTCTGGACAAAACAAAGCAGATGGCATTGATATGGAATCATGGTTCCATGTATAGCATCTGATAGTCAGAACTACACTACTTGTAAACAAGGATTAATGCATAATAATGATTGCTTGACCTACAATAATTTACATTATCCAATTATTGTTAGTTTCATAAGAACATAGAATAACACAGTAGAGTAACACTGCAATGGCTCTGTGGAATTTTAGACCAGTCTGAAGATAATTGAACCTACACTCCCTTCTGCACACAAAACAGGCATTTAATCTTTATACACTAAATGGTATCATGTGAAGAAATGTTTCCATTTTTCAATTATAAACATAATTTTCAAATAATGGGCTACAGGTGGATGGTCTGCTGTACTTATTCTACATGACTTTTATTTTATTACATTATCATTCTAATGTAGGCTTTCTCAGAAATAAATATTATAGTGTTCATTAAGGTAAGGCAAGTCATATATAGGCAAGTGTGTATATGGTTATGTATATACAGTAAAGCAGTGTTTACAGTGTTTACACAATTGCAAAAAATAGTGCAATTGTAATAGCCATGCCAAAATTAGCTGCAATTCTTTTGTGGCCGGCCGTCCCCCAAGAAAAATAGAATTCTTGGGATTCTAGATGCCTTTTTCAAATATAAAATATATTGCATAAAATCAAAGTTATGTATTTCACACAAGCTGGTAATGTTTTTTTTACAAACTAAATATTAGCATGGGTAAGCTGTAAACTCTCTCATTAATTTGCAGTGTGCGTGATCTAAAACCAACCTGTTTGTAACTGTATTAGTGAGCCTATTAACCAGCTTATTATTTATGGCATATTTGTTCCATGTATTTAATACATTTTCTCATGAAACACATAGCTATTTTAAATTGTATAATGGCAGCATACATCACACATGAACAGTTCCAGCATCCATTTCCCTTACAAAGACTGATGCAAAGTAAAAAAAAAAAACTTCTTCCTCATCACGCTGTAAGCATTTGTGCCTTCATTCATTTGGTTTTTAGAGACTACAGACATTTCATTATTTGTACAGAATCACTCACATGTTAAGATGAACAAAACCGAAGGGAGGCCACGGCAATACATTGTAAACCTCTTTCAGAATATTCTAGGACTACACTAGTATGAAATGTGGTAAAGAAGGCTGCTGTCCCATTCAGTTTGCTTCTCTTTTAACTTTTGGACAGAATACTTCAATAATACCATTAGAACGCATTTTGTGCAACTATCATGTAAACATAAAGTGATACAGAAAGAAAAGTAGAATGTTTGAGTATATACTGATATATACAGTATTTTTCTTTATTTAGTACATCTAGTACTATGCCTTTTTTACCCAATATAAAAAACAATTTAAGTAGCTAAGGGTACCAAATAAAAGAAATATTGTTTGAAATGAGCATTTCAGCAACTTTTAAAATAATTTGTTAGTTTTATTTGCTTTTACTGTAATATATATTATAATATTCACCAATTATTCATTTTCAATATTTAGATAACTTACAAACATATGACACAAACAATTGTTATAGATAAAACATGTTCAAGCATCTAGGGCAGCCAAATTATCTTGTTAGTTGTTTCTTTACCATTGTTTGAATTGCATTTATAGTATAAGACTTACATTAGTAAATTTATGCATGCCAATTGGAGATTCTTTGCAAGCTGTCCCTCTAAATCCACAGCTGAGGGTTGAGACAGGCATGTCTCTCAAAGGCTTGTTAGGGTTACTTTGTCCCGTCCCACCCCCCCCCCCCCCGGCCAAAGATTGGGAAAAAGCCTCACACATTGCCTCAATATTCAAAACTGCATGTTTGGAAAGGGGCTATCTAAGACTGTACATAATACTCCATGCATAAACTGAACAGAACAGCTGGTCTCAGGTGTTCAATAGCAATAGCAATAGCAGTGGACTTATATACCGCTTCATAGGGCTTTCAGCCCTCTCTAAGCGGTTTACAGAGAGTCAGCATATTGCCCCCAACAATCTGGGTCCTCATTTTACCCACCTCGGAAGGATGGAAGGCTGAGTCAACCCTGAGCCGGTGAGATTTGAACCGCTGAACTGCTGATCTAGCAGTAGCCTGCAGTGCTGCATTTAACCACTGCGCCACCTTGGCTCATGCTTGAGCTTTGTCTGTATGTGGAACAAAATGGGCCCTTTTTTCCATTAGTTAGAAATCAAAATGTGATTGGTTGGGAGTGGAGTTAAGAAAAAAACTAAGAACGTTAGTGGTGGCTGAGGAGTCTGAACACAGGTGGTAGAGACTGGAGGTGAAGCTGATAGGATATAACTCACTGAAGGCTACTGAAAAGAAAGAGTGAAAGGGGGAAGCCCTTGCTATACTCACCCATCAAATACTCAGGGGTTGTTCCAGATTTTAATCACCTAATAGCTAGAACAATCAAAATATTCTAGATTTGTTTCTGCTGAATCATGGCTAACTGAAATGATTCAGCATAACTTCTAGAATATAATGGTTTATTCTGGGTTAGAAAGAAAATGTACTTTCCATTCCTTGCATAATCCTAGTACTATGCAAAGCCTCCCTCCAAATGATGCATAGGTTTACCAATCTATCAATTTTTAATTTATGCATCTACAGTCTACTAGTATGTGCTACTGAATTATCCAGTATATTAGTATAACCTGTTTAGATACCAGTCAAAATGATTTCTTATGGAAGAGATTTTGACTGAATCCCAGCATTTTATTAAAATCTTTCCAACAAAAATAAGAATAATATAAATATATAGAGAAATGAATTTCTCTAGAATAGAAGACTAAAAGATATAAGATAGAGATGGACAAAATTACCATAGTTTGCCAAAATGTAGGTCCTCCAATCGCTGCCAGTAAATGCATGCTTATTATGAAGACTTGCACCTCAGTCACATCAATTCTGATTAGGTACAAAAAAAGCCAAAAAAGAAGAATTACTCAAAGCAATTTTAAATAATTTTGCAGGCACAGCAGCTCTTGTTTATCATGCACAAGGTAAGAGAGGAAAAAAAGAATAAGTGGAACAAGAGGAAAAAAATAAAGCAAAATGTTTTTTAAAAATATATAACTAATGCAGCTCATTGGCTTAACAGTACAGAGCTAGTTTATTTGTATGTATTAATTTACAATATATTCTTATTCAGTCAGAGTCGTCAATGCCACACCTCTAAATTGCCATAAGAGCACATAGGTGATAAATAGAGAACCAGCAATGGTTTAAATTTCTACAACACTCAAGTTGGTTCTAAAATGTAAATGTGACTTTCTCATTACATTGAATGATTTAGTTACAAGAGAAACGTTCAGAATTTTCCTTCCGACCAATCCTTTGGCTGTACAGAAGTGCAGGTAGGAATGTTAAAAGTTTTATTTATACCAAACAATGACAAGAAGTTGTAGAAATTTAAACCTTGCCTACCAGTAAAAAGAATTTAGATAGAAAGCTTTTAAGAAAAATAATGAATTCAATGGATATCTTTCTTCTTTCATTCTGTAGCGATTTAATTTTTTAATACTGCTGACTTCAGTGAATTGAGTCATGACGCTTTAAATAAACAGATTATGCTAAATGAAGATTGACTATGTGAACCCATAAGTAATCACAATTTGAAATCATAGTTTTAAGTTGGTGTATGAATCATCACATCATACTTTTGGTCTATTCCGTCTGTGTGTCCCATGTAAAGCTCTTCCTCAAAGATGTACAATTTTTTTCAGGCCAAGAACCACAGTTGGTCTTTGGCCTCTGGAAACTGTCCTTTAAACATAGGTAGAATCAAGATAATGGAACAGGTAAAAGTAGTATAAAGAGTAAATTCAATTTTATTTAATGTACTTTAATTAAATACAGGTAGTCCTTGACTTGCAACCATAACTGAGCCCAAAACTTCAATCTCAGAGCAAGTGAGTCTTACCCCATTGTACAATAGTTGTTAAGCAAATCACTGCAGTTGTTAAATGAGCCATCTGGTTGTTGAGTGAACTTGGCTTCTCCCATTGACTTTGCTTATCAGAAGCCAGTTGGGAAGGATACAAATGGTGATTGCATGACAATGCAACTGTCATAAATACATTCCACTTGCCAAGTGCCCAAATTTTGATAACATGATCATGGAGATGCTGCCTTTGAACTATGGTGCTGGAGAAGACTCCTGTGAATCCCTTGGACTGCAAGATGATGAAACCAGTCAGTCCTAGAGGAGATCAACCCTGACTGCTCTTTAGAAGGCCAGATCCTGAAGATGAAACTCAAATACTTTGGCCACCTAATGAGAAGGAAGGACTCACTGGAGAAGAGCCTAATGCTGGGAAAGATAGAGGGCAAAAGAAGGGAATGACAAAGAATAAGGTGGCTGGATTGGGTCACCGAAGCAGTAGATGTGAGCTTAAAATGGACTCCAGAGGATGGTAAAGGACAGGAAGGCCTGGAGGAACATTGTCCATGGGGTGGGCGAGACGCAACTTTGCAACTAACAACAATAAGGAATGCTGCAATAATTGTAAGTGTGAAAACTAGGCATAGGTTATATTTTTCAGTGCCATCTGAATAATCACTAAATGAAGGGTTGTAAGTTGAGGACTACTTGTACAGTTAACTTGAATATTATACAGATGTTATATTACAATTTATTAACAACTTTTGAAGAAAGCTTGGATATATATGAAAAGTATTGGGGTCCGTGCAACCCAGGGCAGTAAGTGCTTGCCTATGCTCTTGCCCATTCATAGAAATTCAAGGCATCTCTCTTCAGGCTAATTTGTGCTTTTTTTTTTATTCCAAACATGCCATTCTTCCTGGCTACCATCCTTCTTCCAAGTTCTTCTTGAGCTTAAGGCAAAGATAAAGCTTTGATCTGCAAGTGCCAAACCACATTTCTTCCTGCCAACAAAACACTCATTTCTCAGGAGAATCGGTGATATTCAGAAAAATAAATGTAGTACAGATAAAATGCACATCTTGACATACACCAACAAAAAGACATCTTCCACTTTTTATGATGTTTCAAGCCCCCAAAGTACAATTGCTTAGGAAAATATTATTGTATTTAACATAAATGTAGGCCATTTCATATGTAAAGAATGAAAGCAAATGTTTAAATGTGCAGTTGATAATTTCTGAAAAGTGTATTTGATATTTGACCACTAGTAGCACAATAGCTAGTTTATGATATGGTGGGTAATATGGGTTATTTGGGAATTATCCACTAATATCCAATTATTGTTTCAGAAAGTTCAAATAGAAATCTAAGAAATCTAAATCCTGGCAAGAACTCTTACATATATTTTATACCTATATTCAACCCCAGAGACAGGTACACAGATCCATACATCAAAAGACATGCATATATATCAAATTAGATTAAGCAACCTTGCATAGATCATATATCAGACAAAAAGAAAAAAAATAAGATGTTACAGGAATTTAGGAGGAAAAAAACAACAGCTAAGATTGTAGGAATGGCAGGCATGCCAGATGGCCATAATGAAACTGCACATGAAGTCAAACACCACAATATTTTTTCAAAACTGTTTATATATATTTGTGTCCTATATAAAAGAAGTTCTATAATAATCAGCATCTGAAGATCACACTTAGAGCAGTCACATTTAGAAGTGTAGTGAAATACTATTATTACAAATGGAGCAACCTAAGCTGATATTCCTAATAACAAACACCTTCATTTTCCATCAATTTATACACCAAATATATGATTTCAGATAATTAGGTAACAACTACAATATTTCCAAACCTTAGATTGGTGACTGAAATACCATTCAGTCAAAAAATACTATTGTATCCAAAATGACAACAGATACCCTTTAGATATCATATATGCAGTAGGTAGACATACACTATATTGCCAAAAGTATTCGCTCACAACTGAGTCCGATTATGTGGACGGGTGAGCGAATACTTTTGGCAATATAATGTATCTGTTAAGTGATAGAGTCACTGAGAGTGAGTTGGATGGCCATATACATTTTCTTAAATAAAAATGTTGTAAGAAGTGACTGGTAATAAAATACTAAATATATAATTGAATTTGCTTTAAATATGACTGGGTTTATTTAAGTTTTAATGATAAAATTACTTTGAGCCACATAAATATGGATGCCAGGGTTGTGGGAGGAAAGATATGTATTACATCTCAATCTTATATAATATGTTGGTGATTTTACTTTGCCTCCATTTGGGTGTCTTCCTTCCTTGTTCATTTTAAATATTCTGTAAACTGTCTTGATTATTTTAATGCAGTGCCACATTCCATGTTTGATCCTAGGTCTCTAATTTATCCAGTGTTCACAGTTCACATTTGCCTATTATTTNTATTGGCCTTGTTTCTGACATTGATGCATGCTTGCACAAGTTGATTTGCCCTTCATCTAAAGAAGGAATTATGATGCATAAGATATCCAGGCACCTGTTATCATAATCAAAGCTCGCTCTGTACTTTGTAAGAATATACAGTTTGATGTTTGGCAGAAAAACAGCTAACAGGAAAGAAAATTAACCTTTAAGATCTGTTTCATTCTATAATAAATCATCATCCAGGATTAACAGAATTCCAACACTGCACCAAGTATGAAAAAATGATCCAACTTGATTATTTCATTTCCAGCAGTTTTTGAAATTGGATTATCAGCACCGAATAATATGCCAAAGATAAAACATCTTACACTAGTTTTCTCTGCATGTAATATTTGCAGTCATCATCATGTCCTGAGCTAAACACATTGGGCAACAAGTGTACTCCACAGTTCACTATATTTGCGGTATATTTAATATTTGTCTTCCATTGATATTCCCATTGTTGCACATCAATTGTTTTGTTGAAATGCTGCAAGTATTTGAATGTAAAATATTTAAATATATTTGGTTCCTGAATCACATTTCAGTAACAATTTGTAAATAAGCCCCAAAAAGTGGTTTTGGATGCTGTGTTATATTTTTTCCACATATGTGCAAGTCTCTGAGCACTCTGAGCACTCCACACTGATTTTAAAACTCCTTTTGAACTCCGCTGCTTATTTGAAGATAACAGGTAGATCTCGCTTAGCAACTGCCTTGGACAACAACTGTTCAAAGTTACAACAGTGACAAAAAAAGGTAACTTTATGACCAATGTCCATGTTTATGACTTTTTCAATTAATATACTTTATCTTGCCATTTTTCCCTACCCCCACCCCACCCTCCCAGAGTAGAGCGATTGCCTAAATAAGGAATCTGTTCCTAAGCTGCTTTTCTCCACAATACAGCACTTACCCAAAATACCAAGTGATTAATAGAAGGTGGTAAATTTGCGTATTCCACCGTCAAGGATATATAATAAACTTTGGTTGATTAATATACTTACATCTATAGATAAATAAATAATGTTTGTGGTAATGATAATAAAGGTATTTTGGTTGGAGAAATGTATATATATATGTTTTGGTATGCAGGTAATGATACCATATTTTTGGTAAAAACTCAAATGATTTGCAGCAATTGTCAGATGGACTGCATGATGCAACAATGAATATGGATTGGAATATTAATGTCTCAAATATCAAGATAGTTATGTTCAACAGGAAAAATGGAATGGACAATTGAAAGTTACAAATGAGTGGCAAAAAACTAAAGCAAACAATAAGCATTCTATCAAGAAAAAAATACATATAAGTATGAAAAAATTGAGAAATTTCAGGATGTGCAAATGATGCAAAGATAATGGCTAATTTCTGATGTGAGCAATGAAAGTTTGTTGAAGTAAAGCAAAAAGAACTAATATATTTATTTTGGAAATGGACATCAAATACTATAACAATTTTAGGTAGCATATTGGAAAAACAATACAATTGAAACAAAATGCAAATGCCACAAATGTGAGAAGAACAATTATTAAAGGCAATCAAACATGTCACCACTTAATTAAAGGCCTTTAAACAAGGCCTTGTTGGGGGGCAAATGCATTTTTTTGGGGGGGGGAAGAGTGATATTTTAGGGAAAAAAATCTTCATTAAGAATATGCTTCTATTCACTTTGTTATATGGAAGTTGGAGCTCAGTATATAAAGAAGAAAATAAATTAGTTGGTTTTGGGTACCTAACAGAGCTGCAGTGGCGCAGTGGTTAGAATGCAGTACTGCAGGCTACTTTTGCTGCCTGCTGGTTGCTGCAATTTGGCAGATCGAATCTCACCAGGCTCAAGATTGATTCAGCCTTCCATTCTTCCAAGGTGAGTAAAATGAGGATCCAGATAGTTGGGGACAATATGCTGATTCTGTAAACCTCTTAGAGAGGACTATAAAAGCACTGTGAAGCAGTATATAAGTTTAAGTGCTATTGCTATTGCTAAGATTGGAAAAATGATCATATGCTTGTTTTAAAATTCTTTTTGCATTTCTTTTATTTTGAATGCAACTGTTGCCATTCTGTTAGTCCCTCCCCACAAATTTTTTATCTGAAACATCCTCATCAATATTCATTAAGTATTAAATGCTTAGCCACCAATTATAGTATCATAAGTAGTAAAATGTCAGCTCTGTATAGAGGGTAAATTTTTTGAAAAATCCATTGTAGAGCTATAAAAAAGATATAATCACTTGAAAAGATAAAATAGGAAAATATATCCTTTCTTAAAAAGTAATTTTGGAGAAAAATAATCAAAGGAGTTAGCCATTTGTAGCAAATAATGAAAGATATGGTTAGATTAATTTTTTAAAACATGTTCCTATCAGTGCAAAATGCTGTGAGATGCTAACAAAAAAGTATTCTGCACAAGCATCAGCTATGGAGTGTTTAAGGTGCACACTATCTTTTCTCAGGATAAGATAATGAATTTGATAACAACTAGCAATCTTTCAAACTTTCACTAGTTTAATCAAATAGCAATTTAAAATAAGATATTTACAAATGAGTAGCTATTCATCTTTCACATGAAAGGTTTAATTAGGAATCCTATTTAGTAACTGTTAAATAGTTCATGAATAAAAGCAGTAGAACAACTATCTCAGCATAAACTAGCTAAATGCTGATTGGGCTATATAATATACAGTATATTAAAGAGTTTTGATTGGAAGGCAAAAAGTTATTGATAGCAAGCAGTGATAAATGTTAACAAGTATCTGGAACTTTTCAAAATTATTGAATCTTATCCTGAGATTGGGTGGCACTGACAACTGCCCAGTATCAATCACAATACAGCTGCCTTAACAACTGCAAACAGGTATATCCTCAAACACTCCAAACAATTGTTTTATGGAACTGAAGATGTCAGCTCTTTAAGATAAATCAGACTTGAATGCCAAAGTCATGAATACCAAAACTATTTTTATTATAGGGTTACAGCAACAGAATTTTGCAACTTCGAATGTGTCTAACTCATTTCTCCTTGCCTTTATTATAAAGAAAATAAGAAGAGTCAAGTCAGAAACACTTTCTCAAATCTTAATCTGTTTTCTGCTGATATTTCCCTCATCTGATCATTGCCTTAACTGTGATTCTTCCTCCTTTTCCTCAAGATTATCTCAGCCCATTACAAAACCTCTGCATAGTTTAAATGCATATATCTCATAATTTACACTGGCACTGAATTAAAGGAGAGTATTTTGTAATACATTTTAATAGTAGATGTACCTTCCCTACATAGATGTTTTTCACATATGTTGGGCTACAATTCCCATAATATCAAGCTAGCAAGATCTTGCACAAGAGTGGTTCACCTTTTTTCCTCACAAATCTGCAAATTTCACAGAATATTAACAAAACCAATAAAATTAACAGTGATCCATTAATAGAAATAAATCATCATCCCAAAAAAGTATTAAGAGATCTTAACTTACCTGTTCAGTTGCTGTTGGACAGTAAAATACTAATATTATGGTTGTGCAGATGTTTATTATCAGTCCAACAATTGTAATCAGATTAGGGGCAATCCAAGTTGGTACTCTTCGCACTAACCACTCCCAGTAACCTTGCATAAGTGGCTCAAGTAGGGACCGTCCAGCACTTTGATATTTGTGTTCTTCTAATCGTTTTAACTGATGCTTTGATAAAGGTGGTGTTGGCAACTGAAACAATTTGCTCAATGTACATCCTGTAGAAGGAACGTGACCATAGCGTGCAGGGGATTCCAGATGCAATTCCCCACATCGTTTCTTCAGTGATCGATTCCCACTCATGGATTTATTCACTTTAAAGTCTGTATCTGACAAAGTTTAATTGTTGTAAAGAAACATAAGATCCTGGAATAAAAATATTTAGATTAATATAAGAAGAAAAATATTGTAAAATTTTGAAGTGTTTAATGGTGAGAAGTACAATAGCTGAAAGTCCAGAATATTTGTAAATGCATTAAACCAAGCTATAGTTGCATCAACTTTAATATTCCTTTTAAAAATAAATAAATGCAACAGTCTAGTGAATAAGCTATAGTTTGGGGCTTGTTACTGAGGAAACTGAAGAATGATCATGGAATGTCAACAGGTAACTATGAGACACTCATTTTCTTTCAGCCCAACCCATCTTACAGGTTTATTGTGAGAGTAAAATGAAAGGACATTCACAACTAAGCTGTCTTGAGATCCTGGAGAAAAGTTATGATATAAATTTAACTAACAATAATGTGCCTTGAGTGTAATTCCAAAATATCTAAAGCATAACTTGAACACCCTCAACACTGACAAAATCACCATCAGTCCATTGCAAAAAGCGGATTTACTTGGAAAAACTTACATCCTATGATAGTATCTTTAATATTATTCAACAATATCTCTCTATACAAAGTACTTAGGAACTACTAAATAGGTAAAGAAAAATGCCAAATCCAGTCTAAACATCTGGTTGCCTGTGCGACCAACAACAATAAAGAATAAAAATGAAAAATAATGACATGATGGAAACTCATCCCAAAAAAGTACTTTCTGATTTTTACTAGTTAAGGTAATCCTTAATACTGATTAGTTTAGAAATGAAAACACATTCAAATACATGCTTCCTATGGGTAAAACGTTTATCTCTTGATCGGAGTCATCAAATTTTTAAAATAATTTTCAGAAACAAATCCCTTCTGTTCATTAAATTCGTAATCCTATTTGCTTTCCTTTGTTTTAATCTCCACATAAAGTGTCCTGCCCACATTTAGTAACTTCTTACTATTCCCTGGAAAGCACTATTTATGGATTATGTTAAGGATTACATTGAAGATGCACTTCCGTCATGACAGATGTATTAAAAAGAGAGGGGAGACCGGAGGGCCAATGCATTAAAAAGAGAGGGGAGACCGGAGGGCCAATGTCAGGAGTATTATGGGCTGCAGAGATATGTATGGAAAATTAAATTCAAAACAATGGAATAGGTTTGTAACCTACTTCATATTCCAAATTGTTTGAAGTTATCAGCTTCTCCATTTAACAATTAAGAGTATTTAAAACTGGTCTTTACTAATATAGACTTTATTACTTTCTATATAATCACAAAGTATGTAATTGATATACACTATATTGCCAAAAGTATTCGCTCACCCATCCACATAATCAGATTCAGTTGTGAGCGAATACTTTTGGCAATATAGTGTATCTTTTGCAGAAAATTAGTTAACTGATTCACATGTCAGTAAATCTAAGGCACTCAGTAAATACAATAACTAAAAGAAAATGTAATCAATAAAAAGAAGTTTTTGCAATTTTATATGTNACACACACACATGCACACACAAATTCAGTATCAAGCTCTCCTCCTCCAAAATTCATGTGATTACTTTAACTTTAGTCTTTCTTCACCAGAAAACTTACACCATAAGGTTCCAGGGCTGCAATTTAGGGGGACATCAGAATGTGTTTTATATGTGTCCATATTTACACAGAACATTGATAAAAGAGCAAGAGAGCCACTGAAAGCGCAGAGTCTGCAAATACTTTAATTTTGGATCAGCTGTTCTTTCTCTTTACAGAATTTTAGAAATGGCTTAAAGTTTTAAGGAAATTTAAATATTCAAACACATATTTCAAGCATTTCAGTCTTAAACTAAGATTTAAACCCCTTAGTATGAAATAAAAAAGGGATTCCCTTGCAACTGAGCTTGACAGGATAACTGTGTGATTCTCCAGCCTAACCTGGAGCTCTAGCATTCCATGGAGTTCTCTATGAAAGTACTAACCAGGCCAAACTGGGCTTAGCTTCCCAAACAAAGTCAGCCAGAAGCTACAACCTCCTAATATGAAACTAATCAAATGTAGAACCTTTGTAAAATATATTACCAAAGTTCTGAACTGTGGCATGACAATTATACAACCAAGATACATTATTCTCATCTTATTAGAGCACCAAAGGATCTTAGAAAGTTTTGTCCTCATAAATTACTTAATAGACCATTATCTAGTGCAGTACCTGTGGACAATGAATCACAGCCATGGTCAAATAGTTCTCCCAGAGGACTACTACTATTGGTTCTTCTTGCCTGTTTCCCATCTATTGCATCCAAAGACTGATAGATGAAAAGGCCACAAGCACATGCAATATATGCCCAAGGTGGTGCCTAAAAGAGAATGTATGTAAAAAAGCAGCAACATGTAAATAAATGTATAGGTCTTAATCAGGCATGAATCTCATATAGTGACAATCTATTCTACTGCATGATTAGTTATGAAAAAATGCAAGTAATATTCGTTCTTTTATTCATATCCAGTTCTGAAATTTCTTGCATACACAAAGCAAAGCATATTAAGATTAAACCTAAATCATTTGCAAGTTTTGTAATTTTAAAGGATTATTGCCCATGTTTGGTGAACATGCACAACATTAGTTTGTTTTGTTTCAGCATATTTATTTAATCTGCACGGCTACCATCTTAACAAGTAACTCTAGCCAATGAATATATTAAAAACAAATTCTATCATAACAGAGAAAGTAAAAAACACCTAAGGAGAATATTACAATCCATGGTGGTTAACACAATCAGGAGACAGGACCCTTCAATACTTGGGATCATGCACCTGAGCACATATCTAAGTCTTTAGGACCTTTAGTCATCAGGGTCTGGGCTAATCTCCAGAGGAAGGAGTTTCCACATAGCGGGCATTATGACACAAAAAGCATACCTCCTGCACCCACCAACTAGCCTTCCCTGGCTAATAGGACCTGAAGTATATCTATCCTGCTGGGTCAGACTGGATGGTGCAAAGAACTGGGGGGAAAAGGATCCCTGAGGTAAACTGGTCCCAAGCTATGGAGGTCTTTAAAGGTGGCAACCAACACCATGAATTGCACCTGCAAGACACCGGCAACCAATACTACTCAGGGAGTACTGGTGTTACACATACTATGTAACTGACACTATTTACTGTCACCATTTACACTGAAATCAGCCGCTGTAATTTGTAAACTAGCCAACAGCATAGCATTATATCAATNAATATTCTATTTTGATAGCAAAAATATGTCAGCTGTCCCGTAGACTGTGACCATAGAATTTGAGAAACATTTTTTAAAATGTTGTTGATTGCACTGAATAATATAAGTTTTACACATTTTTCAAACTACAAAACTCACTGCCTCAATTGCATTTGATCTGTGGGCTTTAGCAAACTGCTTTTAGCATTTGATATTTTCATGGGATGATACTATTACAACCAAGATTAAATATAGTTGTAAAACTTATGAAACACATACATTCTAATTATTATCCCAATTATCTGGTAATTTAAAGTCTTTTTAATACTTTGGCTACTTTTTGAGTCATAAAAGAATTAAGGAATTCCATGTAGGCGTCAAATAGTGTTCTGCAATACTTCACGTTGATTTATGTCTCATATTCCTCTCATCAATGATCCACATTTTCTTATGTCATATGCATATTGCTATTTCCTTCCATAGAGTAGAAACAATAAATATCTGCATGATAGTCTGAAAGATTTATTTGAACTCTTCTTCCCCAAATATACAAACTCTCATTCATATTTTGTACTGCAAGAAATCATATCTGAATTGCAGCTATTGCAAATATCTCATTTTAATCTGTTGTTAAAAGGATTAACATTTTGAGATGTCAATATACCAATCATGTTATTTTGGAAATGAGTTCTGTATGAGGTTTTCCTTTTCAAAATCAATATTTGTAGAAATTTATTTCTTTATTATGCTGCCCAATTGCCGTTGCAACAGTCATACATTATAACAAATCAAAACAATAAATGAGAACTATAAATTTAAATTTGTTAAAATTCAATTGATCAAGATGGAGAGGAAGGGAGCAAAGTGTGCATAGGAAAGGGGTGAGGTTTGACCAATCCATTAACGACCTCCAAGATGTCACTCTCCCATTGGGGCTCCAGGTCAGCTGGCAGAGCCAGGTCTTCAAGCCCTTTCAGAAGACCAGAAGGGAGGGTGAAGATCTCATCTTGGAGGGTGGGTGCCACAGCAGAAAAGGCTCTTCTCCTGGATCCTGACATTTGAAATTCCTTGACTGATGAGATCTGTAGCATGTCTCTTCTGCCAATGTGGGCTAATCCCACTGGAATTAGCGATTTCGTCAGATAACCTGGATCCTTGCCATGAAGGTCTTTATAGATGATAACCAACACTTTGAATTGGACCCAGAAGGAAACTGGCAAGTGTAATATGGGCCACTCTGGGTCTTTAACACTCCAGCTGCATTATGCACCAGCAGAAGCTTCTGGATACTCTTCAAGGTAGACCAATACAGAGCCTGTTTCAGTAGTACAAATCAGGGATCACCAGGGCTTGGGTGACTGACTGCAGGAACTCCCAATTCAGTTCCTAGAGGGACTGGATTATTCTGAACAGGGTCATTGGGTAACACTCTGCAGATACAGTAAGAGCAAGAAATAATGGAGTTCTGTCACTCTTACTGCCATGAGGTATGCCTTAATAGCAGTTCTTACTTGTGTACAGTCGGATTCATATCTTGTTTTCTTTCAGAAGTGCTCTATTAGTCATTTAGCCCTTTTCAGAACTTGTAGTTCTCCTGTGAACCATGAAGAGTGTTGGGATCAAAGGGTAAAGAGAAGCCACATAGGCACAATACTATTCAAAATGTTGGCTGCCCTTTGGTTCCAGGATATAACCAGAGCTTTGGCAGGATCATGCAGCAAGGCCCCCTGGATTTCCCACAGTTCTCTCTGGAACTCATTTGCAATTATCAGTCTGAAGGAAATGAATTCAAGGAATAAATATACTTGCTTATATAAGATTATGTTTATAACAACATGCCCCATTAGAACTGTTAAAAACCATTTTTGTAATGGACATCACAAAATAACAAAAACTTGGCACAACTAAAAGTTCAAATGTTTTTTCCTAGTATTTTAGAAAGAAGTGATTGATGACAGTATTTAAACTTATAAGAAATTTACTTGTTATACATTTTGGAAAGGAGACTAGATTCTTTCTTAAGCTTGAGGTCAAGGAACTGCAAAGGATGAATGAGAATATTTGTATGAACATAAATATCCCCATTCCTCATTTAGCGACAAAATTTTGTTTCAATAAACAGGTCATTAAGCAAAATGGTCACTATGTGAACTATGTAACAGAAATAGGGAGAGAGTTGCTGTGAAGATTGCTGGTTGCTGCTATCTCATTTAGATAAAGTTCTATTTTTACTGCTGTCAGCATTACCGTCCTTCAGTGTGGGTTAGTGTCAGCTGTACAAAATTTGATTGCAAATATACACAAGTGGGTTGGATTTTTTTTTTATAAGCCTCATATTTGCGAATGGTCATAAATGAATGTAGTAGCTAATCAAAGTGTGAGTGTATATTTCTAAGTAGCTATCTCCGTAATTCTTTTTCCTGGTGGAAAGGTTTCTAACAAAAGAACAAAATTTATTCTGATTATACATAATGAGTTGCTCCAACATTCCACCACTTTTTTCTTGAGATTATGTCAGTTCTGTATATTTTACAAAAGAAAAAAAAGGAAGAAAACATCCATGTTTCAAAACAAAGTATTTTTTTAAAATGAGGGCAGAAGGAAGCTTTATAATCTGACTGAATGTGTCTTCTATTGAGCTATTATAGATCATCATATATTGAAACAAATGTCTGGACAATATCATTAGTAAAACAATTGCCTTTTTCAGTTTTAATGTGCATGACAAAAAAGGGCTGCTTCCATAGAATTTACACCACTGCTTCCCAGGAAAAGCCAATTGTTATCATTTACCGTATTCCAAAAATCAGATCCAAGAAATCCTGTTAGGAGGTGAATTATTATAATACAGACATCAGACTCAGTAACATCAAATCTAAGAGTGAGGGGGAAAACATTTCAGTTTGAAAGTTACGTGCCTGCAAATTTTTACTCATAAATGAAGAAATTGATTCAAAATCATGGGAAATCTTTAAAAAGTTACAAGGTTAAAATTAAAAAGAGAAGAAAACAACAATTGTAATCTCCATTAGGTGAATTCCATTGCAAAACCCCTAAGTGTCATGAATTGCAATCAGTAATTTAAAAGAGGGAGACTAGAAATATTTTGAAAGCAATATATAATTACTTTAACAGTTGCTAAACAAATCTCACACAAATCCAGTTTAAAATTTTAAGATCAACTCCATATTAGCCTCATGTAATCCTTTACATAATCTATAGCAGTAATTCCAAACTTGGCTTACAAAAACCATCGAGAGAGGAGAAATGATCACCTCTAAGAATGTATGAATTTTTTTTTTAATTTATGTTATGACCATCTCTGTAACACTCACATAAAATCATATCTGAACAGAAAACAATGGGTTATAAAGTACTTTGAAATTGAATATATTTTAATGGCAACATTTCGGTGGTATTATTTTATTACTTTAAAAATAGTACATTTTACACTTAGATAGCCCAATCGTATGTCTAAAACAAAAAACATATAAAGTTTTAGTCACATCAGATTCTTTAAATATTTGTCTTAGACTTGATTAAGGCACCAGGCTAGAAACCAGAAACTGTGAGTTCCAGTCCCATCTTAGACATGAAAAACCAGCTGGGTGACTTTGGGCCAGTCACTCTCTTTCAACCCAATTTACATCACAGGATTGTTAATATAGACAAAATAGGAGGAGGGAAATATGTTTGCCGCCTTGAGTTATTTATTNTTTACTAATATAGACTTTATTACTTTCTATATAATCACAAAGTATGTAATTGATATACACTATATTGCCAAAAGTATTCGCTCACCCATCCACATAATCAGATTCAGTTGTGAGCGAATACTTTTGGCAATATAGTGTACCTTTTGCAGAAAATTAGTTAACTGATTCACATGTCAGTAAATCTAAGGCACTCAGTAAATACAATAACTAAAAGAAAATGTAATCAATAAAAAGAAGTTTTTGCAATTTTATATGTAACTTTCTTAAGTGAGTGGCAAAAGAACACTACTGAGGAAATCTTGCTACTCTTAATGTAATTTCAGTGACAAAAAGACTTGAGAGGAAAGTGTACTGTGATTTTACAAATAAGGCGGGTTTCTACAATGTACAAGATTCCAATTTTAGCTTTTCGTTAAAGGAAAGCCGATATGGCAATTAACACTTTGCCCGAAACGCTGATGCATCTCCAATACACCAGGCAGTCGAAAATATAAACGCAACTCAAACCAGATATTTCAATCTTGAAAATCTATATAAGGCTGAAGCACATTTTATTTTATGCGTGCCACCCCTGTATTTGACACAAACACTCTGCTTATATCTATGCGGAGGAGAGGGTTGTTTTGACTTGTCCCCGGCATTTGAAGAACGCCCGCTCCGATTACATCGCTCCCTCCACGGACGGACTGACTGATTGCCAGCTTGTCCGGGCATAAACGGCAGCAGCCCTCTCCGAGTGGAAAAACAAGGCAGCGCAAGCGACACCCTCCCTGCCTCTTGCGCAGGAGCCTACGAGGCTCAGCAAGAGAGAAAAGAAGGACGACCATTGCCCACCCACCTCGCGGCAGGTGAGGCAGACAGACTCAACACGGGTCAACCTTCTTTGGCTGAACTCGAAGGGACACCCGACGCCGGCCAGAGGCCAAGCTTCTACCGCCCAACAGAGCCAATCCTGAAGCACACCAAAAACACCCGGCATTTACCTTTACCAGCCTCTTCGCCCAGGAGGCGCGTTTACGTCCTTTTTTTACGCCTGCCGTAAATAAGGCCGGCTGCGTGGTTGCTTAGGAAGGGCACGCGACTGGAACAGGCAACTAACGGAGCAGGGGGCGTGCGTGGGACACCCGGAGATTGGTGCTTTGATGCGCATGGGCAAAGTGGAGGCAACCATACGCGGGGTTGGGTTGGAGGGAGCGAACTCTGATTGCTTCCGTCGTTTCCCGCCCACTTCGTCCAGGGCGCCAGGAGGGCGGTGAAATGAGGCGGTCGCGAGACAGCGTGAGCTTAAATAACTGGAGTAACCTCGTTTGGAGGGATGGAATGTCAGAGCGCGCTTCGCCCAGCACAAACGACGACGGGGTCAGGCTCCACCCTGCAAGGGACAGCGCTGGTTTCTCTGCCGCTCGGGCCGGAGGAGGAGGAGGCTGCCGACGCGCTGCTGGTGGCGGAAGTTGAGTTTGTATCGTGTGAGGCAGCTTTTTAAAGTCTGGGTCTAGGATACGTCCGGGGTGAGGGCGAAGTCATAAAATAGAAATCAAAAGCTGAAGAAAAGTAATCGTTGCAGCTGTTGCTTTTATATTTTGTATTTTTCAAAACACCAGGAAAAGAGAGAGAATGTATAATGTTCGTTACGATGGTGCCCGAGAGAGAGGAGAGGACAAGCTTTCCTTAGGAAAATAGCTTCCACTTCCAGCATCTTCCTAAGCTGGCTGAACCACTTGGTTGAAGCAGAGACTCTCGGATTCAGGTGTTCCCGACCGACAGTTGCTAGTGATAGTAATAAATCGGCTTTGTCAGGTATTTTGTCCCTCTTTCCTATTTTCTCTGGTTAAAAAAAAGAAAAAAAAAGGGCAGGTCTTAAATGTGAAACTGAAACGGCTACTTCTCCATAATACAGTATGGAGAACAAACAGTTTAAAACTTTTTTTTTCTTAATAAAATTATTGATAGTGTAGTTTAAAGATGCAAGTTGTTTGCTGTGCTCAGTTCTCTCGTCCAATTGATGCAAATTATATAGAGATTTTGAATTTTGAAGTGCATTACAGGGAGACAGATTAATGGATAAAGAGATTGATCGATAAGTGGCTGAGATTTGTCTTGGGGCAGAGTAAATGTTTCATTGAAAAGGAGCAATTGAGTTTCAAAATGGGCTGCAGAAAATATTGGTTGCATGGGTTTGACTAGTTACAGAATTTCATTGGCACCCATCATCCCAGTTCCATAGAAGTCACAATGGATAAAACTGTATCCGTTTACCAAGGCACAATATATAATAAAGATGAATTAGAAGTCAAGATGGACTTTTATTCTTCTCCGCAACACATAATATTTCTAAATAATTGCAGATGCAAAAATCCTTTTCACTGGTTAAGGCAGCCCTTGTTTGTAGGTGCTTTTTAAAATCTTGAAAAATGGAAGACAGAAAAAAAGTTTGTTCTCATTCTACCCATTCCCTTTTGAGACCTTTCAGATCTTCAACAATTCACTTTTCTTTCTTCTACTAATCTGTTTTGATATTATCTCATCTCTGGGCAATTAACGTCTGACTATTATCAATGTTAAAGTGCAATTATCTAAGGCTGTTCTATTTTATTCGTTGCAATTCCAGTGGCACATTGTTGTGCAACAAAATAAAATACTTGTAGAATGTTGCTTTGCTCCAGAATTAGCTTCTGTGGGTATGTATCTTATGTCATCATAATTATTACAGAGACTTTTATACTCTCTCTGTTGTTGAATCAATGTGGTTTATAAAGTAAAGATTACATTTAAATATAACAATGAAACATGCATATTATAATAATAGTCCATAATAAACCATATCCTTCATTTTCTATTGTTTGTCCTACCCTTTGGAATCTCCTTCCCTCCCCCCTTCTCTTTCTCTCCCCCCCCCCCAAAACACTCTGGAGATCAGATTAGTCCTGAACCTATCAGCTTTTCATAAGGCCTTAAAGAATTGGCTTTGCCATTGGATGCGAGGATCTCATTGTGTGACAGTACCCATGCCATGATTTATGTTAATTATTGTTGATAATGGATTTTGGAATAACATGGCTATGAATTGTATTCTGTTTTTAAATATGATTCTACATTAATTTTAATATTGCATGAATTTTATTTTGTTTTTAATTGCTGTAGTTACCTAGAGTCATATATTTGAAATGGACAGCTATATAAATTGAAATAATAAATCATGTGTACATCCTTTACTCATTCCACAGCTTCCTAATATTTATCGAAAAGGGTGAAACTTAAGCCTTTCAATGAACAAAAGTGAGGATGCATATTTTATTTCAGAGCTAAATTATTCTTTAAGAAGGCAACTTACACATTGAGAGATTGTCTCTGAGCTCTCATGGAAGATGAAACTCTTAGCATATACTCCCTGCAAGTATGTTTTGGGGAGATTCTATTTGAAGTAAGCAATCTTAGAGATAATCAGGTCCTCAGCCATGTAGACTTTATAGTCTATTGATTGTAGTTGTGGGCATCAGGCTAAAAATTGCGAGACTGAGTTCTAATTCCACCATAGGCATGAAGCCATCTGAGGTCCATCATGCCAGTTTCTTGACAAAAATGCCAAATCCAGTCTAAACATCTGGTTGACATAATAGGCTCTTGGAAGCAGTCCCAAAACAATTGGAACACCACTGGCATTGACAACATCAACACCAGTCAATCGCAAAAGACATCTTCATTTGGAATAGCTTACATCCCGTGACAGTACCTTTAACAATATCAAACAATATCTGCCTATCCCAGGGTCCTTGGGAAAAACTCGATGGACAAAAATGTGAAATCCAGTCTCATCAGCATCTCAGTTCCTGCAGTGCTAATGTTATGTGACATAACAGATTATTTCCTTTAGATGTATTTTGCATTATCTCCAGTTTCTAGATGGTCTTTAAAGGCAGTCCTGTGGAGTTGGAATGGAGGATGAGGGAGGCATAAATGTGGTTGTTTGTACTTTCTGTTACAAAATATATAATTGTATATATTAAAGGCTAAATTGGGTTCCACTTATTTTTAGACTAAAAGGTAAAGGTTATCAATATTTTGATTTGATTTTTTCATTCCCCCACTTCCTCTTCTTAAAAACATGCTCCAAATAGTTTGTTCACTTTATCATCATTTGAGCTAGAGTTAGAACATAACTTAAATAGGGAAGCTGAAAATACTGTTTCGAATGATGTCCTGATTCGATAATTCAATGAAAAGATTGGACTGGAAATATTTTCAAATAGAGGACAGAAGGATAGTATATTAATGAATTAGAAGAAATGGAATGGTGTAGAAATGTTGTTGTAAATAAATACATACAATTTATTTGCTTTCAAGACAAGAAGAAAGAAAATGTTATTTATTTATTTCAGTATTTGACTCTGGATCATTTTGAAATGTGGTGGTTTCAGCAAGGACTGAGTTTCTTGCCTTCTGCCCTGGTTATTTGCTCGTCTGCTGCTATACTGTTTCCATATGTTATTGGAGTACTCTTAAACCATATTGACCCTTTCGTACCCTATATCAGGTCAGTATACTTTATATTTTTGCATTGCAATTTATGTTCAAATGTTACATCTATGAAACTTATCTTACCCTCCTGTTTTTTGCTTTAAAAGTTTTTTAAAATGGAGTTACTGTATTTTTTGGAGTATAAGACACACCGGAGTATAAGACACACCAAGATTTTGAAGAGGCAAATAAAAAAAAGTTTTGCACTCTGCAGACCTCCCAAAAGTGGCCTGTTTTTCACGAAAACGGGCCCGGTTTTTGTCACAAAAAAGGCATGCATAACGTTTAGGAGGCTTGTAGAGTGCTCCTGGGAACTGGGGGGGGGGCAGCCCCTAGGAGCACTCTGGAAGCCTCATAAAGTATGCACAGCCATTTTTGCAAAAGGCGCAGTTTTGGAGGCCAAAAATACTGTATTCAGTGTATAAGACGCTCCAGATTTTCACCCTCTTTTTGAGGGAAAAAGGTGTGTCTTATACTCCAAAAAATACAGTAGGTTAAAGCCACAGCATTTAGTAATTTGAGTTTGTTATAAAATTAAAAGACAAATTTAAAATACATTAACATTCCTTTTGAATTTGAAAGACTTAACAGCAGTAGTGGATTTTTTTTCTTTATTGTCAATTTTCTTTTAACAAATATTGTTAGATTTATCTCTTTATATCAAAATGGATGAACTTTATTTCATAAACTATTCATAAGATACATAGACATGCACTTATATATAACAATAGCAATAGCAGGCTTATACTGCTTCATAGTGCTTTACAACCCCTCTAGGTGGTTTATAGAATTAGCATATTGCCCTGAACAATCTGGATCCTCATTTTACCAACCTTGGAAGGCTGAGTCAACCTTGAGCTGATCAGAATTGAACTCTGGCAGTTGGCAGAATTAGCCTGCAATGCTGCATTCTAACCACAGCCAACACACACACACCACATTTATACACACATACTAAAGTGATTGTTCCCTCTTTCCCTTGCTCTTTTAATTAGATTTGCAAAAAGTTACCAAGGTGGCAGGATATCATATGTATTTCCATATTTATTTACTTACTTTAAATATATTTTTTCATTCATATGTTTTCCAAAATGGCTTGTCTGTTAAAAAATACATGTATCAGACCAAATATACTATGTAACGTAAGAAACAGATATGAGTATGTTTAGAAATCTCCTTTCAAAGCTCCTTGAACTGAATTGGAGTGAAGAAAGTACAGGAACATACTGGTGGTTTTCTTTGTTTCCTTTCATTGTGGAACTTCACAGTACAAATAATTCTGAACTTAACGACCAGAGTTGAAATTATAATGGACGCTACCAAAGGTACTTATGAGTCATCTCCCTCACAGTCACAGGATAGCATTTCAGGCAGTTGGTCTACATTTATCGCCATTTACAGCATCCGGTGGTCATGTGACCATGATTTACAACATTTTACTGAAAATTCACTGGAGAAGAGCCTAATGCTGGGAAAGATTAAGGGCAAAAGAAGGGGACGGCAGAGAAGGAGGTGGCTGGATGGAGTCACTGAAGCAGTAGACGTGAGCTTAAATGGACTTCGGGGGAGTCCATGGGGTCGCAATCGGTCGGACATGACTTGCAACTAACAACACACTGAAAATTGGCATTTACTTCCAATTTTGTTAAAAACATTTGGTAGCAAACAACAGGTTCACTTAATGATTGTGGTGTTTGCTTCATGACTGGATTTGTTTAATGACTTCTGCAAAAAAACACTTGACCCATTTTATGGCTATCACAAATTACAGCTGGAATGGGCAGTCTGCATTATGGTCATAAGTCAAGAACTATATCTAAAGATGCTTATTGGATCATTCCCAAGGTGTTCATAGGCCCAATAAATTTATTTCAAATAATGTTAAGTTTTATCATCTTGGTTCCTTTGGTGTATATTACAACTCTATAATTATGATGGATGTATATCTGAACTTTCATTTACTTCTGGAAATACTCTAACTACTGTACAGTAATAATACTGTTCTTTTCCTTCCTCTCTCCACCACATCAATTTTGCTGTAAATTTAAATTCTTATATTTACATCTTTTATATTTTCCATATTTTTAGGACCACTAGCTCATGGATGTCCAACCTTTTTGGCTTGCCTGGACAACATATACAAATATTATATATAAAATATTAAAAAAACAAACTTCCTTTATTTTTAAAAATATTTTCATTATATCTTGTGAGGCCATGTGACTAAATGTTCAGGGCTGCATGTGACCCATTGACCATAGGTTGGACATGCCTGCTCTAGCTAATTAGTGGAACCAAAAATTGGTCTGCTAAAGATGTCAAGAGTTTCAGATTACATCTTGGCTCCATGACTCAAAGCAACTATACCTCTCTTACAAGGGACCAGCAAAAGAGAACACTTAGTTCTGCAGTCAAAATCTATACCAAATGTCTATCCTTCACATCTCGAAATAGTAAAAATTATGTACATAGTTCCTGCATTTACAATGAGCTGTCTGAAGTTCTAAAGCACGTCAGCTGCAATTCATTGTACTTTATTATTAGAGAATAAAAAGATTTGAGATTTGCATGTACAATTGTGCAATGTTAAATAAGGTACAGTATTTTCTTTCTCTTCCTGCTATTTCAAGCTGCTGCTTCTCTTTTTTAGCAAGCCTTGGTTCTAAACCAGTTTGACATATTGCTCCTCAAAACTTGGAATTTGCTTATGAATTGCAAGACTACAGTATCTATTACGATATTTGATCTCTTATATATTATCTAGGAAGCAATAGCTTAGGCCTGGGTTAGAGATGTTATTTTGTAAGCATCATTGTATAATTGAAGCTGGAAATAGTATATCTCTGCAATGCTTTTCTCTCCAAAATAGCAGTGACTGCAGTTCCTTGAACTGTTAGTTGATTTATTAAAGTATAAATTCATTAATATTGATATTATCAATGTTTTACATCAGTTACTACTTAGGGGCGTCAGTGGCATCCTTGGCTTCTGATCTTAAATGAAACAGAGAAGAAATATTAGGACTCAGATTTATGTCTTAACAGTCTTAAGTTACCCTGAACTGACTTATGTAAAACAGGCGTAACCACTTTATGCTATGTAAATATTAGCCATTATTTACAAATATGTATTTCCTGTTTTTAAATGTATATGCTTTGGTAAGTATAATTATTCTCAGTTTACTGTATGATAAGCTATTTCAATACAGTTTGACTGCATCTATTTTACTGCCTGACAAGTTAGGGAAGTTCTTTTCTGAGTTTTTCTCCTCTGCTCATTATGCACCTATGTGCTACACCCGCTCTTATCTGATCATTTCTTGGGAAGCATCCCCAGTCTTCTAGGGTCAGTCCCACATATCATTACAAATATTATTTTTTTAATGGAAAGAAAAAAAATTGCTGACCTTAGCTGATTAGCTGATTCTAAAATATTTAGCAGGCTCAGACGTAGGAGTGGTTGGATGAAAAATCTCCAGGAAGTCCTAGGTATGTAGGCTTTGTATGGGATTTAAAAATACATCATGGAGATAGGTATTGGGAAACCACTATCCTGCAAGAATCTATGTAGTTATCAAAGAAATCTTTATCTTTACTCATACTATATCACTTCTCATTAGAGTCAACATTAATAANTCAGCCATGTAGACTTTATAGTCTATTGATTGTAGTTGTGGGCATCAGGCTAAAAATTGCGAGACTGAGTTCTAATTCCACCATAGGCATGAAGCCATCTGAGGTCCATCATGCCAGTTTCTTGACAAAAATGCCAAATCCAGTCTAAACATCTGGTTGACATAATAGGCTCTTGGAAGCAGTCCCAAAACAATTGGAACACCACTGGCATTGACAACATCAACACCAGTCAATCGCAAAAGACATCTTCATTTGGAATAGCTTACATCCCGTGACAGTACCTTTAACAATATCAAACAATATCTGCCTATCCCAGGGTCCTTGGGAAAAACTCGATGGACAAAAATGTGAAATCCAGTCTCATCAGCATCTCAGTTCCTGCAGTGCTAATGTTATGTGACATAACAGATTATTTCCTTTAGATGTATTTTGCATTATCTCCAGTTTCTAGATGGTCTTTAAAGGCAGTCCTGTGGAGTTGGAATGGAGGATGAGGGAGGCATAAATGTGGTTGTTTGTACTTTCTGTTACAAAATATATAATTGTATATATTAAAGGCTAAATTGGGTTCCACTTATTTTTAGACTAAAAGGTAAAGGTTATCAATATTTTGATTTGATTTTTTCATTCCCCCACTTCCTCTTCTTAAAAACATGCTCCAAATAGTTTGTTCACTTTATCATCATTTGAGCTAGAGTTAGAACATAACTTAAATAGGGAAGCTGAAAATACTGTTTCGAATGATGTCCTGATTCGATAATTCAATGAAAAGATTGGACTGGAAATATTTTCAAATAGAGGACAGAAGGATAGTATATTAATGAATTAGAAGAAATGGAATGGTGTAGAAATGTTGTTGTAAATAAATACATACAATTTATTTGCTTTCAAGACAAGAAGAAAGAAAATGTTATTTATTTATTTCAGTATTTGACTCTGGATCATTTTGAAATGTGGTGGTTTCAGCAAGGACTGAGTTTCTTGCCTTCTGCCCTGGTTATTTGCTCGTCTGCTGCTATACTGTTTCCATATGTTATTGGAGTACTCTTAAACCATATTGACCCTTTCGTACCCTATATCAGGTCAGTATACTTTATATTTTTGCATTGCAATTTATGTTCAAATGTTACATCTATGAAACTTATCTTACCCTCCTGTTTTTTGCTTTAAAAGTTTTTTAAAATGGAGTTACTGTATTTTTTGGAGTATAAGACACACCGGAGTATAAGACACACCAAGATTTTGAAGAGGCAAATAAAAAAAAGTTTTGCACTCTGCAGACCTCCCAAAAGTGGCCTGTTTTTCACGAAAACGGGCCCGGTTTTTGTCACAAAAAAGGCATGCATAACGTTTAGGAGGCTTGTAGAGTGCTCCTGGGAACTGGGGGGGGGGCAGCCCCTAGGAGCACTCTGGAAGCCTCATAAAGTATGCACAGCCATTTTTGCAAAAGGCGCAGTTTTGGAGGCCAAAAATACTGTATTCAGTGTATAAGACGCTCCAGATTTTCACCCTCTTTTTGAGGGAAAAAGGTGTGTCTTATACTCCAAAAAATACAGTAGGTTAAAGCCACAGCATTTAGTAATTTGAGTTTGTTATAAAATTAAAAGACAAATTTAAAATACATTAACATTCCTTTTGAATTTGAAAGACTTAACAGCAGTAGTGGATTTTTTTTCTTTATTGTCAATTTTCTTTTAACAAATATTGTTAGATTTATCTCTTTATATCAAAATGGATGAACTTTATTTCATAAACTATTCATAAGATACATAGACATGCACTTATATATAACAATAGCAATAGCAGGCTTATACTGCTTCATAGTGCTTTACAACCCCTCTAGGTGGTTTATAGAATTAGCATATTGCCCTGAACAATCTGGATCCTCATTTTACCAACCTTGGAAGGCTGAGTCAACCTTGAGCTGATCAGAATTGAACTCTGGCAGTTGGCAGAATTAGCCTGCAATGCTGCATTCTAACCACAGCCAACACACACACACCACATTTATACACACATACTAAAGTGATTGTTCCCTCTTTCCCTTGCTCTTTTAATTAGATTTGCAAAAAGTTACCAAGGTGGCAGGATATCATATGTATTTCCATATTTATTTACTTACTTTAAATATATTTTTTCATTCATATGTTTTCCAAAATGGCTTGTCTGTTAAAAAATACATGTATCAGACCAAATATACTATGTAACGTAAGAAACAGATATGAGTATGTTTAGAAATCTCCTTTCAAAGCTCCTTGAACTGAATTGGAGTGAAGAAAGTACAGGAACATACTGGTGGTTTTCTTTGTTTCCTTTCATTGTGGAACTTCACAGTACAAATAATTCTGAACTTAACGACCAGAGTTGAAATTATAATGGACGCTACCAAAGGTACTTATGAGTCATCTCCCTCACAGTCACAGGATAGCATTTCAGGCAGTTGGTCTACATTTATCGCCATTTACAGCATCCGGTGGTCATGTGACCATGATTTACAACATTTTACTGAAAATTCACTGGAGAAGAGCCTAATGCTGGGAAAGATTAAGGGCAAAAGAAGGGGACGGCAGAGAAGGAGGTGGCTGGATGGAGTCACTGAAGCAGTAGACGTGAGCTTAAATGGACTTCGGGGGAGTCCATGGGGTCGCAATCGGTCGGACATGACTTGCAACTAACAACACACTGAAAATTGGCATTTACTTCCAATTTTGTTAAAAACATTTGGTAGCAAACAACAGGTTCACTTAATGATTGTGGTGTTTGCTTCATGACTGGATTTGTTTAATGACTTCTGCAAAAAAACACTTGACCCATTTTATGGCTATCACAAATTACAGCTGGAATGGGCAGTCTGCATTATGGTCATAAGTCAAGAACTATATCTAAAGATGCTTATTGGATCATTCCCAAGGTGTTCATAGGCCCAATAAATTTATTTCAAATAATGTTAAGTTTTATCATCTTGGTTCCTTTGGTGTATATTACAACTCTATAATTATGATGGATGTATATCTGAACTTTCATTTACTTCTGGAAATACTCTAACTACTGTACAGTAATAATACTGTTCTTTTCCTTCCTCTCTCCACCACATCAATTTTGCTGTAAATTTAAATTCTTATATTTACATCTTTTATATTTTCCATATTTTTAGGACCACTAGCTCATGGATGTCCAACCTTTTTGGCTTGCCTGGACAACATATACAAATATTATATATAAAATATTAAAAAAACAAACTTCCTTTATTTTTAAAAATATTTTCATTATATCTTGTGAGGCCATGTGACTAAATGTTCAGGGCTGCATGTGACCCATTGACCATAGGTTGGACATGCCTGCTCTAGCTAATTAGTGGAACCAAAAATTGGTCTGCTAAAGATGTCAAGAGTTTCAGATTACATCTTGGCTCCATGACTCAAAGCAACTATACCTCTCTTACAAGGGACCAGCAAAAGAGAACACTTAGTTCTGCAGTCAAAATCTATACCAAATGTCTATCCTTCACATCTCGAAATAGTAAAAATTATGTACATAGTTCCTGCATTTACAATGAGCTGTCTGAAGTTCTAAAGCACGTCAGCTGCAATTCATTGTACTTTATTATTAGAGAATAAAAAGATTTGAGATTTGCATGTACAATTGTGCAATGTTAAATAAGGTACAGTATTTTCTTTCTCTTCCTGCTATTTCAAGCTGCTGCTTCTCTTTTTTAGCAAGCCTTGGTTCTAAACCAGTTTGACATATTGCTCCTCAAAACTTGGAATTTGCTTATGAATTGCAAGACTACAGTATCTATTACGATATTTGATCTCTTATATATTATCTAGGAAGCAATAGCTTAGGCCTGGGTTAGAGATGTTATTTTGTAAGCATCATTGTATAATTGAAGCTGGAAATAGTATATCTCTGCAATGCTTTTCTCTCCAAAATAGCAGTGACTGCAGTTCCTTGAACTGTTAGTTGATTTATTAAAGTATAAATTCATTAATATTGATATTATCAATGTTTTACATCAGTTACTACTTAGGGGCGTCAGTGGCATCCTTGGCTTCTGATCTTAAATGAAACAGAGAAGAAATATTAGGACTCAGATTTATGTCTTAACAGTCTTAAGTTACCCTGAACTGACTTATGTAAAACAGGCGTAACCACTTTATGCTATGTAAATATTAGCCATTATTTACAAATATGTATTTCCTGTTTTTAAATGTATATGCTTTGGTAAGTATAATTATTCTCAGTTTACTGTATGATAAGCTATTTCAATACAGTTTGACTGCATCTATTTTACTGCCTGACAAGTTAGGGAAGTTCTTTTCTGAGTTTTTCTCCTCTGCTCATTATGCACCTATGTGCTACACCCGCTCTTATCTGATCATTTCTTGGGAAGCATCCCCAGTCTTCTAGGGTCAGTCCCACATATCATTACAAATATTATTTTTTTAATGGAAAGAAAAAAAATTGCTGACCTTAGCTGATTAGCTGATTCTAAAATATTTAGCAGGCTCAGACGTAGGAGTGGTTGGATGAAAAATCTCCAGGAAGTCCTAGGTATGTAGGCTTTGTATGGGATTTAAAAATACATCATGGAGATAGGTATTGGGAAACCACTATCCTGCAAGAATCTATGTAGTTATCAAAGAAATCTTTATCTTTACTCATACTATATCACTTCTCATTAGAGTCAACATTAATAATGGGTGTTAGTTTTTTGTTTTTTTTTGAAAAAGGTTTTTATTTTCCATTTTTTCATTTTCATACACTCACTTATATACTGTGCATAGCCGGAGCCATTCAACATTAAACAATAATCGCAGCAATTCCTCTTGTCAACAATCCCCCCAAAAATAGAAACCCAATATACCTCTTCCACTCTCCATACACCTCTTTCTTCCACCCCCCTCCAACTTTCTATCCTCCCTCCATCATCCCCCTCTACCCTACTTCCCCTCCCCCTCTACCACTCCTCTCTCCCGATCCACTCCCTCCCTTCTCACCCTCCCTCCCATCCTCTCTCCCGCCCTCTTTACCCCTCTTTCTCCTATCCCTCTCCTCCTCCCCTTGGTGTATTTCCACTATATGTCAATGTACTTAACTTATCCTATTTTTACAGAGAAATTAAAGAAAAACAGTATACATGTGAAGTCGCATTACATTGAAATCTAACACATTGTATATAACCTAGTATATATCCCTCCCTCCCCCCACCCTCCCCCCAACACCCCACCTCCCTCCCCCCGACTTCCCAGAGCCCGTACATGGTATAGATTTTTAGCAAACACAGTCTAAAATATATTGAGAAAAAAGAAATAAAGAAAAAAAAAGGGTTAATAACATCTCTACATTGATCTTAGCTTCTTCTTGCTACGCTAACTTTGAACAGTTTAAATCATTCCTGATCTTAACCATAGGCTATCTGGAATTTCTTAGTCCCATATTTGTTTTGTATATAGTCAATCCATTTTTTCCCAGTCTCGTTTATATCTCTCATTTGAATGATCTTTAAGATATGCCGATATTTTAGCCATCTCGGCTAAATTTGTAACTTTCAATGTCCATTCTTGAGTTGTAGGCAAGTCTTCCTTCTTCCAGTATTGCGCCACCAACAGTCTTGCTGCCGTTATTAGGTGCAGAATCAAGTTAGTCTCTACCACTGTAAAATCAGTACTTATACCTAGTAGAAATAACTGAGGAGTAAACTTTATCCTTCTTTTAAAGATATTTTGCATAATCCACCATATTTTTATCCAAAATGCCTTAACCTTTTGGCAGGTCCACCATATATGAAAATATGTAGCATCGAGAGAACCACATCTCCAACATTTAGGCTATAAGTTCGGATACATAGAAGCCAGCTTTTTAGGATCTAAATGTCATCTATAGAACATCTTATAAAAATTTTCTCTCAGGTTTTGAGCTTGTGTAAATTTCACATTTCTTACCCAGATTCTTTCCCATGTATCCAGCATTATTGGTTCTTCAATATTTTGAGCCCACTTTATCATACAATCTTTAACTAATTCTGTTTCCGAAAATAATGGGTGTTAGTTTTGTATTCCATAGGTTTTGTCATTCCAATTGCCTTGCAGGATGCTTAGTATCATAATTTGCTTATCTTTCAGTGACACAGGGGTATTACCTCCAGAAAGATGCTTGTTTGGAATAATGTTGTGCTTTGCTTCCTTCTTGGGTAAGTATAGTAAAAATAATACTGAGCTTCTGAGATTGCTTAGATGTGGGCTTTAATGAGACTACAGAGATGAATATATCTTAACTAAAGAAAAAGAACATTCACTGAAAGATGTTTGGGGCAATGCAGTTGGTATGTGCAATTAAGACAAAAACACTACAGTTTTTACAGACTTTAAAGGTTGAAACGGTATACAGAGTTGCATCTACTTTAATGAAATAGTCTGAACATCTATTCCAACAACACCTGGGCAGAATAGGGAAGCACAGGATGTTAAGCTATCACAGGAATAGCTAAAGAACATATCACTCTGCACTTTACATTCAGAGAAAGTAAGCTATAGTTACTTAACTGAAGTTACTGGATGGTTGGATTAAAAATCATGGTTGGCGGGTTTCTCCAAACTCGTTCTGCCTAGCATGAAAGGAGTCCTCAGACAGTTAATCTACTTCTACAATTCTTTTGTTATGTTTTGCATAAAAGACTACAATTTTCATGTGCTATAATCGTTCATTAGTCTTCATTGCATTTGATATGCTTCTCTATTCTTACTCTGCTTCAATTGTTCATTCACAGCTATTTCCACCATGTATGTTCGGTACAAACAAGTCAGTGCTTTGAACCCTGAAGAACCCAAGATACTCAGACTCAATAAGGCTGGCTTAGTGATAGGAATGGTCATCTGTTTTGGGATTTGCATCATTGCAAACTTCCAGGTTTGTGTTTTGGCTGAAATGACAAAAGTACATATCTTCATCATAAGACTTCATCATAATAGCCTATTCTAAGGATATGCTCAAATGAAGCTTGATAAGAAAGATATGTGTTATACTATTTGACATTGGGAACATCATTTCCCCCCACCATTCTTCCATACTTCCAAACAGCACAAGATGTACAATATATTTTGAATAGTATGTGTCTACTTGGAAGCATCTTTAATTGGTATTGATTGGTTTTTACAATATAGTTGGATACTGAGGATGTTTCTATAGCTATTTCTTAATTTTATTTACCATAAGCAACACGATAGTAATGAAATAAATGTAAGTTACTTTTAAGTTTCCAGGACAAACTGCTGGTATTTGGAATGATTTTATTTTATTTAGGCCAGATGATACTTTTGAAATAGATATATTTGCAAGCAACATACTACACTGTTAATAGAATTAAGTTAAATAAAAAGGATCTATTTCAGTGCAAATAAATCTCAATTTCTGAGAAATATTTTCTCAGAAATAACAATTGAGCAGAAAAAAATCAGTCCTGACAACTAGAAAGCTCCCCCTTGACTTATGTATCCTCCTGAAATCTAGTTAGTTATTTAGTTGTTGGGGTTTTTTTTGGGGGGGGGGCAAACTTCAGAAAAGTGAGCAAAGAGCCTTCTCCACAAATCCCATTTTATCCAATGATCTTATCTTGGAATCATAAACACTTTTAGCACACGCAAGAGAAGCCTGCAAAGGATGTTGTCCTATTTTTGTCTATGATTTCAATTTTATTTTATTTTATTTAGTTCTCTTAGAGCAATTTTGACAGGATAGCCACGCTTCAGCAAATTCAGTAATGTACCCAATCTCATTTCACACAATGTCTCTGAAGTAAAATGGCAGACCATCAGATTTTTCAAAATTATTTTGCAACCGTTTTCAGACTGATAGGCATTGATTTGTTTTTAATGGACATCTTCAGAAATCTCTTATCAAACCTGAATATTTAATGAACAGTGAACCTTGAAGCTAGAATTCCTTTAACTGAACTGATTGAACCAGAAGACTCATTAGTTATTACTGTGGCACATTAAATGTAAGTGATTGTTTAGGAAATAAATGAAGTCAGGACTGATGGTTTATATTTTTCCTTCAAATTCCCTTCTATATTAATAGAAGCTCTAATAACATTCAGTGGCAAAGATACATACTCATGAAAATTTTAAAAGCCGATTATTTTTTTCACAGAATTATAACCTGACAAAAGAAAATGGGGGAAATGTTTTCTTAAATTAATCATTTAGTTAGGTGGGTATTAATGTAGTTTGGGGGGGGGGGAGACTCATTAAATACAGTTGCCTTCTTATAGCAAAATCGCTGTCTTTAGGATCTATATCAGTGTTTTTCAACCTTTTTTGTGCAAAGGCACACTTTTTTCATGAAAAAAAAAATCACGAGGCACACCATCATTAAAAAAATTAACTCTGTGCCTATATTGACTATATATAAAGTGTTTTTCCCACGGCACACCTTACACTATGTCACGGCACACTAGTGTGCCGCGGCACAGTGGTTGAAAAACACTGATCTATATCATTACAATCTTTATCTTAATTAAATAATGAACTTCCAATAATGATAGATCTATAGGTTTTTATAGTGGTTTGCAGATAGCGATATTTGTTATTGAGCCAAAATCCTGGTAATTTTGAGAGATTCTATTCAGATTAAATTTTGTGATACTGTTTGAATCTTTCAAGTATTACTCCAGTATTGTCCAAAAATCATTGAATTATGTTATTTTTCTGTAGAAAAATGTTGCATATTTCATGCATTCATTTGGATGTTTCCTCGCATTTGGATTAGGAATCATATATATTCTGCTTCAGACAATTATTTCCTATAAGATGCAACCACGAATTCATGGGAAGGATATTTTTTGGATCAGATTTACAATGCTGCTATGGTGCATAGTAAGCATATTGAGTCGTATCCTTTATTGTAAAACTGCAAGTGATGAATGAGGGGTATTTCTTAAAAGTCTATTTTAAATGAAACATACTTTATCTTCAGGTGGATAAAATGGCTACTTGTTATAACAGTGCTGGAAAAGATCACAAAATATATAAATTTCAGAAGTTTATTTTTTGTTTCCCAGAGAGGTAGATAGACAATAAAGTATCTTCTCTCGCTCCCTCCCTCTCTCTGTCTCTCTTTTTCTTCTATCTATCATCCACACACACACACACTGTATACTGTATATATACATACATCATACGTGTCTGTGTGTTTCTGTGTGTGTATACCAGTGGTGGGTTCCTACCGGTTCGGCCTGGGTCCCCGGTTGGTGCTGTTGGTGCCGCCATCTTGTTTTTTAGTTCTGCACATGTGCAGAATAAAACGTGCACACAAGCAAACCAGCAGTAGCGCGTGCCGGAACCCACCCCTTATGCACACTGTATATGTGTATAATGGGTGTCAAACTATCTAGTCACATGACTTATAGTGAAGTTCTTTGCTTTTGTAGAGCAAGGGTGGGCGTGGCCTATGCATGACGCATTGGCCCGCAGGCTGCCAGTTTGACAGGCCTGATGTATAACATAATTTTATATTGCTAAACTAATGCATACTGCATAGTATGTTTTTAAAAAAATATTATTTATATAAATAATAAATAAATGTACAAACTGCCTATCTCAATATCCAAAGCGATTCTGGTCAGCAATTTTTTATCACTATCATGAGTTCTACTTTGCTTCATTATTTATTACCCTTATGAATGTATTTCATATCTGGATAATATTTCATGCACTTGATTGCATGTGTTTGAATCTTAAAAAGTTTATGGCATAATAATTTATGAGTATTCGTTGTGTTCATATTTATTTCATTCATGTTACACGTATTGATTGGGAAAAGGATTTCATAATATAGTATTTTACAAGAATAGGTAAAACTTTACATATATGTGTTTGTGTATATATATATTTTAACAGTAATATAAATCCTAAAACTTTATATGTGTATGTATGTGTGTGTGTGTGTGTGTGTGTGTGTGTATGTATATGTATATATATGTATGTGTATGTGTGTATGTATGTTTTAGGATTTGTATTTCTGTTAAAATCCCTAATTTCTGTTGATTCTCTTCTCAACTGCATCCTCTTAATCCACATCTCATAGGTTTATGAGAATCCCCTGATCCTTAACAATTTTCTGGATGAGTGAAATGCCATGATTGTGTCTTGTACCGACTGGCCTTCAGATGGGACATTTGTTGCATCATTGGCACATTTTAAAAGGATGGGGCAAATTAGAGATAACTTTAAAAAATCATTTAAACTAAAGATTACACCATCCCTTCCCAAAATGCTTAGGGCCGTGATGGTGAACCTATGGCAGATGTTCCACAGGTGGCACAGAGCCCTGTCTGCAGGCACGCCAGCTGTCACCTCAGCCCACTCCACCAAGCATGCACGCATGCCTCCTGCCGGCCATCTGGTCTTTGGGTCTCTGCCTTACATGCATGGGGGTCGGGGTGCATGTGCGAGACAACTGCACGCATGAGCGTGGGGTTCTCGCATTGCATTCTGTGGCCTCACAGCTCCCTTGCACCCTGTTTTGGCTTCCAGGTTAGTGCAAAATGGGGGGGCAGCACCCAGTTTTGGGCCTGCACCAACCTGGAAGCCAAAATGGGACACAGTGATGCTGCATGAGCCCCTCCACACCCAGTTTTGGGCCCAGAAAGCCTCCTGCACCAACCTGAAGCCAAAAATGGTCAAGGGAGGTGTAGGAGGGTCATGCATACATGCGCAGGGTGTGTGCATGCATATGCGGGAGAGTTGTGCACGCATGAGTGGGGGGTGCGCAGGGGTGTGTGTTTCGTATTGCTTTCAGCACGCGACAACAAAAAGATTAGCCGTCAGTGGCCAAGGGTGTACAGCCTTTAAATAAAAACAAGCAAGTAGGGTTAGACAAGAATGGATGGAGAGTAAGGCTATTTCCTGTCTTTCAAAGATATTTCTTAATTATTAAAGTGGGTATTTCAACATCCATTTTATTCAGCTTAAGTGGAACAGATTTCCTACAGAAGATTCGTTGGAATCCCCAGGAGAAAGTAAGTTTGATTTTTTCTTAAAAAGACAACAAAGACACAAATGAAATGTGTCAAGTGCATTGCAGAAGACATTCTAAGATATTCTTAATGCATTGTAGTGTTTATATATTGTTAAATACCATATTTAGTTCTGCTAATACACACAAACATAAGCAAGAAGTCTACAGTTGGCTTCATTACTGCAATTTAAAAAGAGATCCAGGGTAGCTGGTCTAGCCTGTTTAATATTTAATAAAGCTAGTTTAATAAAGTTAGGTTTTCTGTTGAATCAGGCCAAAGTTTTATTCCTAGATTTTACTGAGAAGTTCAAAGACAGGATATGAACAAAAGGTGTTTTATTTTGCCCCCAGCAAGTAGTATAATGCCTGTAAACATGGAGAAAGTGTATGTATTTGCATTTATGTGTAGACACACAAACCATGTTTAATAGCCATTAATAATTTCCATTGAGAATTAGGTAATTATTTGTCTTATTCTCTCTCTTTTTGTTATATTTTGGTATTGCTAAAGCCTTTCCAAATTTCAGTTCTCATAATCTCTAGAGCAGTGCTGGCGAACCTTTTTAGGCTCGCGTGCCATAAGCGGGGGGGGGGGAGCGCAGGGGGGGTCGTGCGTGGGCGTGTTGCACCCATAATGCAATGTGCGACTCCCCCAGTGCGCATGCGTGCATGACAGGCACTCCCCCCCCCATTTTTTGCATGCTTTTTTCCCCCTCCCCAGGCTCCCAGGCTTTATAGGAACTTGGGGAGGGCGAAAAAAGCCTCCCCC